ACAGAAAAGATTCAGTCAGAAATGAAGGATACACTGATTAAAATAAATAATAATTTACAGGAAATCAACAATGGAGTGGATGAAGCTGAGAATCAAATCAATGATTTGGAACATAAGGAAGCAGCAAACAATCAATCAGAACAAGAAGAAGAATAAAGAATCCAAAAAAAATAGAAGAATGTAAGCAGCCTCTAGGACAACTTCAAGCATTCCACCACTCACATCATGGGGTGCCAGGAGGAGAAGTGAAAGAGCAAGAAATTGGAAGTCTGTTTGAAAAAATATTGATAGAAAACTTCCCTAATTTCGTGAAGGAAATAGACATGTAAATTGCAGGAAGCACAGAGAGTCCCAAACAAGATGAATGCAAAGAGGCATATTCTAAGACACATCATAATTAAAATGCAGATGGATAAAGACAGAATCTTACAAGCAGTAAGAGAAAAGCAGTTAGTTACCTATGGAGGAATTCCTATATGACTGTCAGCTGATTTTTCAAAAGAAACTTTGCAGGCTAGAAGAGATTGGCAAGAAATATTCAAAGTCATTAAATGCAGGGACCTACAGCCAAGATTGCTCTTCCCAGACAAGAAAAAAACCGAGGGAGCTCATCATCACCAAACCATTATTTTATGAAATGTTAAAGGGACTTATTTAAGAAATAGAAGATCAAAATTATGAAAAATAAAATGGTGATAAATACATATCTATCAACAATTTAATTTTAAAAAGAAACTAAGCAAACAAGAAGAACAGAGACAAAATCATGGATATGGAGAACATTTTGATGGTTTCCAGATGGGAGGGGGCTGTGAGGGAGAATGGGTGAAGAGGTGAGGAGATTAAGAAGTACAAATAGATAGTTACAGAATAGCCATGGGGATATAAAGTATAGTATAGGAAATAGAGTAGCCAAAGAACTTATACACATGACCCATGGACATAAACAAAAATGTGGGGATTGCCTCAGTGGGTAGGGTGTGCTGGTTGGAGGGGAACAAAGGGGGAAAATTGGGACACCTGTAATAGCATAATTAATAACATATAATTTAAAAAAGAAATTCTAAAACAATATGGAAAAGAAGTGCAAAGGGTTAGAGCAGATAATCCACTGAAGAAATGAAAATTGTTTTATAAAATTATTAATATCTACTATTAAAGATATTATATATTACTAATTACCTTTCAATGTCACTGGTAATCAAATAATTGACCTTTATCAGGAGGATATCATTTTGCCTGCAAAATTAATAAATGATTAATAAAATGATACTACTATACAAAGATAACCCATATTTTCATGTGTCTAGAATAAGAGAATAGCTAAATTATTTATGAAATGGCTAAATATGTTACATTATTCAGTCATGAAATTTCATCATTTTATACAAATACAAATTAGAGATAATTACTCACAAGAAAATCTTAAGTGTGAATATTAGAAAACAAAGTGTGTTATGTAGTATAGATCAAATAATGTTAAAATATATGTGTAACTACATAAAAAAGAAGACTGCAGGAAAAGCACCAACATTGTTATTGTGGTGTTCTGAGATGTTAGGTAATCTCATATGTCCTTTTACTACTGTGTATTTTGGGGAATATCCATGATAGCATCCTTTTAAAGTTTTCTTTGTTTTCTCTCCCTACTTTTCCTGCCATTCCTCCAATGCAAACTAGTTACACCATTTGTTGGAGGGATCTGTGGCAGTTTGTGATCTCTACATCTTGGCCCCACACATTTATTTTGGTATAGACTATATAAAATCCTAAAGTAGCAAAGTGCAAAAGTGGCCCTTGGGTTTGGGAGTATTAGTGTGAAGACTGGTTTTTGAAACCCAACATAGCTAATGTTACAAAGAGTGGAGAGAGTGAGGATGCTGCATTCTGGCTCCCACTCTCTCAGCCCGTTGCAGTACACTGAGCTCCATTGAGATAATGCTGGGGCAAGTGTGAGCCAAGAAGCACTGGGAGACTGTGCTGCTTAGGAAAAATAATTAAACATGGGCAAAGGAGATCCTAAGAAGCTGAGAGGCAAAATATCATTATATGCTTTCTTTGTGCAAACTTGCTGGGAGGAGCACAAGAATAAGCACCCAAATGTTTCAGTCAACTTCTCAGAGTTTTCTAAGAAGTGTTCAAAGAGGTGGAAGACCTTGTCTGCTAAAGAGAAGGGAAAATCTGAAGACATGGCAAAGGCGGACAAGGCCCATTATAAAAGAGAAATGAAAACATATTCCTCCTAAAGGAGAAACAAAAAAGAAGTTCAAGGATCTCAGTGCACCCAAGACCTCCTTTGATCTTTTTCTCGTTTTGCTCTGAGTATCACACAAAAATCAAAGGAGAGCATCCCAGCTTATACATTGGTGATGTTGCAAAGAGGCTGGGAGAGATGTAGAATCACACTGTTGCAGGTGACAAGCAGCCTTATGAAAAGAAGGCTGCTAAGCTGAAGGAGAAATACAAAAAGGATATTGCTGCATACTTACCTAAAGGAAAGCCTGATGCTACAACAAAGGGAGTCATCAAGGCTGAAGAAAACAAGAAAAGGAAGGAAGAGGAGGAAGATGAAGAAGATGAAGATGATGAGGAAGATGAAAAGATGATGATGAATAAGTTGATTCTAGTGCAGTTTTCTTCTTGTCTATAAAGCATTTAACCCCTCTGTACACAACTCATTCCTTTTAAAGAAAAAAAAATTGAAATGTAAGGCTGTGTAAGATTTGTTTTTTAACTGTGAAGTGTCTTTTTTTTTTCTATAGTAGCTAACACACTACAAAATGTGTCTTTAGATAGCCCTCTCCTGGTGGTATTTTCAATAGCCACTGACCTTATCAGGTACAGTACAGGGGTTGTAAATTGGCATTGAAGTTTACAGCAGGTTCTTGGTGCACAGCACAAATTAGTTATATATGGGGATGGTAGTGTTTTCATCTTCAGTTGTCTGTGGTGCAGCTTATACAAAATAGTTGCTATTCTGTTAACTGAATATCACTCTGTAATTGCAATAAAAAAAGAGTTGCAGCTGTTTTGTTGACATTCTGAATGCTTCCAGGTAAAGAAGATTTTTTTTATAAAAAAAAAAAAGAAAGAAACCCAACATTGCTGATGGTCATAGCTACCTAGATCACTGCAATCAGCCCTAATTCCAAAACTTGTGCTTCATTTTTTGCCTTAAGTATGCTCAATGTATTTCAGTTTTTGATTTAGAAATAAATTATAGCTTTTATACCTATAAAATATATTTTAGGTTCTTTGGGAAGGCATTTTACACTAAACTTACAAATTTATAACTGACTCACAATGACCATCTTTCTACAGTTAGAGACAAGACCTAAAATGCACCTACTCCTAGAAGGAGTATCATATGTCCTGTGACTATGAGCAAGGAGCAAGGACCTCAGGCTTCTTGTTTTCAGGTCCCAATTAGCAGGGCATTATTTTATGTGAGTTCAGTATGTCCACAATCATAATTACAAGGCTTGACATTGAGATGCTCCCAAAGTCAAAACCCATCCTAGTATTGTTAGCCACATTATAACTAGTTCAGTAGATACTGAGCAATTAGAAACTGAAAAGAAACATCAGCTCTATTGCCCAGACAGAAAGACTTCATGAGTTAAACCCATGTGCATTTGCAATGCTCATTTTTTTTGTTTTAGAAATAGTGGCTTTGAGGCCTTTTCACCCAATTTCTTTCTTCTAAATTGACTTCTTATAGAAGTCCTTCCTCATCCTTCAGTCAGGTTACGTCTTGACCTGCCTGAGGTCTCTACCTGTTGCTCAGCTGTCATGAGGTCAATCAGCTGGTTCTCAGGCCAATTTGCTAAATGTCTGTGCTAAACAAACTACAGTTTTATGAAATGTAGTTCCAATTGGTCACTATCTCATTTACAGGAGGTTGTTACTTTCCTTGTATTTTTTGTCCACTTACTGCTTGAGCTGGCCTTGGGGGATCTCAGGCCTGCAATGTGAGGCCACTTAAAGGACATGTGAAGCTACTGAAACTTGTGTTTCAGGTTACCAGGGTAACATGCTAGGGGAAACCTAGCCCTCAGGTCAGCATGGACCTATTTTTATTTTTATTTTCTTCTATTTTTTTACTTTTTTAAGTTGAATTCATTGGGGTGATGTTGATTAACAAAAACATACAGGTTTCAAGTGTACAACTCAACAAAACATCATCTGCATACTGCATCGTGGGACCGTTGCCCACAGCAAATTGTGTTTCCTTCCCCATTTACTCCCCTTTTGCCCTCTTTAACTTGTCCCCAGCCATCCTTCCCCACAGGAATCACCACACCATTGTCTGTTTTTGTACTATATATACATTACTGCATTACATATACATTGTATATGTATATACAAATACACACATATTTTTTGGCTATACCCCATCACCCTTTTTCACCCAGTTCCCCAATCACCCTCCCCTATCACAGCTGTCAGTCTGTTCTATGTATGTATGTTTCTATTTCTATTTTGTTTGTTAAATTATTTTGTTCATTAGAGTCCACATCTAAGTGAGATCATATAGTATTTGTCTTTCTCTGGCTTATTTCACTTAGCATAATAATCTCCAGGTTTATCTGTGCTATCAAAAAGATAAGATTTCTTTGTTTATGGATGTGTAGTATTCCATCAAGTAAATATACCACAGCTTTTCTATCCACTCATCCACTGTTGGGCACTTAGGCTGTTTCCAGATCTTGGCTATTGTAAATAATGTTGCAGTGAAGATAGGGTGCACATATTCTTTTAAATTAGTGTTTCAGGTTCCTTTGGTTATATTTCTAGAAGTAGAATCACTGGGTCAAGAGGAAAATCCATACTGTTTTGTTTTCTTTATTTCTTTTTTAATGGTTCTGCAAAGACCTTTACTGGATGGTTCCTTCCAGAGCAGGAGACAAAAGTCCACACAGCTGTGATCAGGGATTGCTTCCAGCTACCCACACCCCTGTGAGAGGTACTCTGACCATATACTGCTGTAGACCACACTGTCACTTCTTCAGGGGAGACTGGTCGAGCAGCTTGTCTATCAGGTCCGTGAGGGCCAGCAGCATACAACTGCAGCAGTAGCTCTTCAGGCCCAGCATGTCCAGGTTGACCTCCTCAGTGTACTCAGTGTACTCGGCCTGCAGCAGCCCCAGGTAGGCCTCCCATTTGTTGCCAATGATCTCACAGCAGGTGAAGCAGCACACTGGGCATGCGTCAGCTGTATCATGGCAACAGCTGTATTGCAGCTGCCCTCATGTTCATGAGGCTCTGGGGCATCAGACACCGCCCTGCCCCAGATGCATCCATGATGCAGGGGTGGCAAACTGCCCCCCAGCCCTCCCACCAGCCCCATTGCCTTAGGCCTTTGCTTCCCTCTGCGAAGAGCTTCCTCTCTCTGTGTCTCCATACTATTTTCTACTGCAGGTGCAGCAGTCTGTATTCCCACCAACAGTACATGACTATTTCCTTTCCTCCACAAGCTCGCCAACACTTGTTTGCTGATTCACTGATGAGGGCCATTCTGGCAGGTCTGAGGTCATATCTCATTATGGTTTTAATATGCATCTTTCTGATGATTAGTGAGGTTGAACATTTTTTTTATATGACTGTGGGCGATATCTATGTCCTTTTTGGAGAACTCTTTATTCAGATCATTTGCCCATTATTAAGTTGGATTGTCTTCTTGGTGTTGAATTGTATAAGTTCTTTTTATATATTCTGAATATTCACCTCTTATCAGATGTATGACTGACAAATATGTTCTCCCAGGTAATGGGTTGTCTTTTCATTTTTTAATTTTTAATTTTTATGTGCAGAAACTTTTTAGTTTAATGTTGTCCCATTTATTCATTTTTTCTTTTGTTTCCCTTGCCCAAAGTTATATACCAGCAAATACTTTGCTATGAGAAATGTCTGAGATTCTAGTGCCTATGTTTTCTTCCAGGATTTTTATGGTTTTGCAACTTACATTTAAGTCTTTAATTCATTTGAGTTTATTCTTGTGTATGATGTAAGTTGGTGGTCTACTTTGATTTTTTGTCATTCTCTGTCCAATTTTTCCAATATCATTTATTGAACACACTATCTTTACTTTATTGTAAGTTCTTGCCTCCTTTGTCAAGTATTAATTGACCATGAAGGCACAGGTTTATTTCTGGACTCTCTATTTTGTTCCATTTATCTATATGCCAGTTCTTATACCAGTACCATGCTGTTTTGATTACTATAACCTTGTAGTATGGTTTGATATCAGGTAGTATGATACCTCTAACTTTATTGTTCTTTCTCAAGATTACTGAGTCTATTCAGGGTGTTTAGTGGTTTCATATAAATTTTTGGAATAGTCATTCTAGATCCCTGAGATACAACATTGGTAGTTTTTTCCTTTAAAAAATATTTTTCAGATTTTCAGTTCCATTTCCCTCTCTTAATTCCCCTCCACCTCCTACCAGCATTCCCTACCTTTAGATTATGTCCATGGGTCATACATAAAAGTTTCTTTGGCTTCTACATTTCCTATACCATTCTTAACCACCCCCTGTCTATTTTGTAGACCATTTATGCTTCTTATTTCCTGTACCTTTTCTCCTGTTCTCTTCCCTCCCCCTCCCTGCTAATAACCATCCATGTGATCTCCGTTTCTGTGATTCTGTTCCTGTTCTAGTTGTTTGCTTACTTCATTTGTCTTTTTGTGTTTTGGGGTTTGGTTGTTGATAGTGTAAGTTTGTTGACATTTGATTGCTTATATTATTTATCTTCTTTTTCTTAGATAAGTCCCTTTAACATTGCATACAATAAGGGCTTGGTGATGATGAACTCCTTTAACTTGACTTTATCTGGGAAGCACTTTATCTGCCTTTCCATTCTAAATGATAGCTTTGCTGGGTAGAGTAATCATGAATGTAGATCCATAAGATATGACATTGGTATTTTAATTGGAATTGCGTTAAATCTGTAGTATAGACATTTTAGTGATGTTAATTCTTCCTATTCAGGAACATGGTATGTGCTTCCACTTATTTGTATCTTCCTCAATTTATTTCTTCAGCATCCTATAATTTTCTGAGTACAGGTCTTTTACCTTCTTGGTTAAATTTACTCCTAGGTACCTTATTTTTCTGTTGCAAAAAAATTTCTCCTTGTAATAGTTTTCTTAATTCCTCATTGTGATACTTCATTATTGGTGTATAAAAATGTCACCAATTTCTGAATATTATAGTAATTTTATATCCTGCTAGTTTATCATATTCATATATCAGTTCTAGTAGTTTTTGGTGAACTCTTTAAGGTTTTCTATGTATTGTATCATATCATCTGCAAATAATGACAGTTTTACTGTCAATAATTAGTGTGAAATAAAATAATGGCAGTTTAAAGGAAAAGACATCCTTTCCAATTTGGATGCTTTTTATTTTTTTCTTCTTGAGCAATGACCCATTTTAATAGAATATTTTGTGTGGTTTGTCACCCCTAAAACAATTGCATGCAGCTTAAATGCATGCAGGAGGTATTTTCTGCTTAAAAATGTTAATGTGTAGTAATATCATTCCTTTTCTATCATCCTGTCCATTTATGTCTTTAGAAAATGGTAACTTTTCCATTATTCTCTGTAGAAGTTTATTATCTGAGAGCTATTGGGTGGTCCTAAAAGCTGAAAAATTTCTTTTATGAAATAGATTGCTCTGTTTGTAGCCATTTCATAAATTAAATATTTTTCAAAATAAAAGAATAGAATGTCATATACATAACTTAAAAATCACAACTGTTGTTTTTTACCTGACTTATTTCATTTAGCATAATACCCTCTAGACCCATCCATTTTGTCACAAATGGCAAGATTTCATTGTTTCTTCTTGCTCTGTAATATTTCGTTATATATATACCACATTTTTCATCCATTCATCTATCGATGGACACTGCAATTGCTTCCATATCTTGGCTATTGTAAATAATGCTGTGATGAACACAGTTCTCCAATCTATCTGATGGAGAATTTAAAGTTCTGGTAGTCAAAATGCTAACAGAACTGATGGAGTTTGGTTGAAAAATGAAAGAATGAATGAAAGATACCTAAAATGAAATAAAGCAAAATATTCAGGGAACCAACAAAAACAAAAAGGAAACCAGGATTCAAATCAATGATTTGGAACAAAAGGAAGACATAAACATCCAACCAGAAGAAAATGAAGAAACAAGAATTCAAAAAAATGAAGAGAGACTTTTGAACCTCTTTGACAACTTGAAACATTCCAATATCCAAATTATAGGGGTGCCAGAAGGAGAGAAACAACATCAAGAAATTGAAAACTTACTTGAACAAATAATGAAGGAAAACTTCCCCAGTCTGGCAAAGGCAATAGACACCAGGAAGTCCAGGAAGCCCAGAGGGTCCCAAAGAAGTTGTACCCAAAAAGGAATACATCAGGGTACATCATCATTAAGTTACTCAAGATTAGAGACAAAGAGAAAATCTTAAAAGCAACAAGAGGAAAGGAAAGAGTTACCTACAAAGGAGTGGCCATAAGGCTATCAGCTGATTTCTAAAAACAAAACAAAACAAACAAAATAACAACAACAACAACAACAACAACTCACAGGCAAGAAGGGACTGGAAAGAAGTATTTGAAGTGATGAAAGACAAGGACCTACATCCAAGAATACTCTATTCAGCAAAGCTTTCATTTAGAATGGAAAGGCAGATAAAGTGCTTCCCAGACAAGGTCAAGTTAAAGGAGTTCATTATCACCAAGCCATTATTATATGAAATGTTAAAGGGACTTATCTAAGAAAAAGAAGAAGATCAAAAATATGAACAGTAAAATGACAACAAACTCACAACTATCAACAAATGAACTGAAAAAATAAAAGAAAGAAAAACAATGAAAACAAAAGCTAAGCAACAACTAGAACAGGAACAGAGTCAGAGAAATGGGTATCACATGGAGGGTTTTCAGGGGGAGAGAGAAGGGAGAAATAGGGGGGAAAGGTACAGGGAAGAAGAAGCATAATTGTGAGGCATTAAATAGATGGGGAGAGGTAAAAAAAATGGTATAGTAAACAAAGAACTCAAAAAACTTATACGTACAACTCATGGACATGAACTAAGGGAGGGTGGAATGCTGGACGGTTGGGGGTGTGGGATGGAGGGGGAATAAAGAGGTGAAATTGGGAAAACTATAATAGCATAATCAATAAAATAAACTTAAATAAATTTTAAAAATCACAATTGATTGTTTACTCACTAATCTAAAAATTAGACAATAAACCCTGGATTACAGTTATTAGTACAAATAAGCAGGGCTCTTTTAACAGTCAGATATAATAGAGAACACTGTACACTAGGTATGTTAATGTGCAAATTAGTTTTACAATTTTAAACTGTATTTCTCTGGAAAAAAATTGAATACATAAATGTAGACTACAAGAAACAGATTAGGGATCATAATATATTAAGTGGATTTTAGAAGGATGAGTTGTAAAATGCAAATGGGCATTAAACCTCAAGGATGGGCAGGAGTTATTTTGTCCTTAATTGGAGGTTACATGGTAATGGAGGTTACCTTTATTCATAATTGGATGGAGAATCAGGACACCTGGAGATGGTATTCACATAAAGGTATAGACATCTATGGGAAGAAGTCTTTGTTCTCTCTTGGATATAGCAGAGAACTTAAATCGCTCATTTACCTGACTCACTTCTATTTACCAAGTAATGTACTAGGAGCTTGGAATATAAAATCAATTGTACTTTAGTACTCTCACCTGTAAAATGGGAATAACAGTGCTTTTCTCATAGGGTTTCTTAATACTGTGAAATAAATTAAACAATAAAATATTTTTTACAAACATCAAAATTGGTGAATTTTTGTGCAGCCATTTACAAATTGCAGATGGAAGAAAATATGACACATTTTTGACATATTATGCTTTGTTATTTCAAGAAAGATGAAAGCATAACTGAAAGACAAAGATTTGTGTAATGTTTGGAGTGTTGTCAAAGAGTGGTTTGCAAAGTTCCAAGCTGCAGATTTCTCGCTGAGCAATGCTCCATTGGGTAGACTAGTTGAAGTTGATAGTGATCAAATTGAGACATCAGCTGAGAACAGTCAACCTTATACCATGCAGAAGATAGCCACCATATTCAAAATAGCTAAATCAAGTGTTGAAAATCATTTGCACCAGATTGGTTATGTTAATTGCTTTGATGTTTGGGTTCCACATAAGCAGAAGATACCTTCTTGATCATATTTCCACATGTGATTTTCTACTTAAATGTAAGGAAAACATTCCATTTTTAAAACAAATTGCAACAGGCAATGAAAAGTGGATACTTCACAGTAATGTGGAATGGAAGAGATTCTTGGGCCAGTGAAATAAACCACCACCAACCACACCAAATGCAAGTCTTTGTCCAAAGGAGGTGATGTTGTGTGTACGGTGGGATTGGAAAGGAGTCCTCTAATATGAGCTCCTTCTGGAAGACTGAATGAGTAATTTCAACAAGTATTGCTCCCAAGTAA